AATCAGATACCTTAGCCCTCCATCCAAACCCAGTTCCCTGAAGGAGTACATTAGCACTGCTGATATCTCTATGTAGTATAGGATGAGGCTTGAAGAGATGAAGGTAATTGAGAGCACAGGCTATATCTAAACTGATGTTTAATACAGCATGATAGGCCAGTCCTCCAGTCTCTAATTCCTTTCTTAGGCTGGTGGGCATTAGCTCTGTCAGGATGATTGGATTACCCTCTGTAGTGGCTCCTATGAACTGAAGGAGGTTAGGATGACATATTTTAGAAGCAATATTCATTTCACGAGAGAATTTCATAATGTTATGAGGAGAGATAATGATTTCATAGAGACACTTTGCAGCAACCTTCAGACCACAAAAATCAGCCACTTTGACCTCTCCCCATCCTCCTTTACCAAGGACTACCCCTGTCATTGTAATCTCTCTTATATTCACTAATTCTAATATTTCTTGCACAAATTCCTGGGAACTCTCAGTGAGACTCTTAGACTGCAACACTGAGAGCTGGAGAGATGTCAAACCTTGCTGCTTCTTGAACTTCTAGAGGAAGAGAGAGAGAGGAGCAAAAAGAGGAGAAAGAGGGGGGTGGGAGGGGGGGAGAGAGAATGAAAGATAAAGAATTAAAAATGAGTAAAAATAAATATAACAAAGCAATGGCAAAATTTATTCATAAGTACATGTATATTGTACATATGCACACATGATAATTTACATGCACATCTACATTACATTACATGTACATGTAAAATTGCTGATAATAAGCACCTGTGTTCATAGCAGTGACTTATGATTTGGTCCGACAACTGTCTTACGAAATCTCCTCAGACACTTTACTGTGACTTCTTTTCTAGTAACAGAATTATTAATAACTTTTAATAACTAGCCACACCCACTTTATGAGTCTTGTCTATTTGATCAGTTAAGCTTGAGAAAAAACTGGAGGCGTCCTAGAAAGTAGGCGCGGTCAAATAGGGTGTGATTCTGTGACATACCTGGTGTTCTAAGATGTTGATGGGTTGACCCTCTAGTCTCAAGTTCTTCCAGAAAAGATCAGGAGTATAGTATTGTAGATTAAGAAGATGACCAAGATACACTAGGATACTGTAAAAGAGAGAGAGAGAGAAAGGAGGAATGATAGTACAAAAAATGGAAAGGAAAATTTATTAGTTACTTTTAAAAGCAATACATGTATATTATTGATAATTATTGTATAGCGAGTTTATTGTGGCCAACATTTCCAAGAGTATATCATTTTTACTAGGCAGTATAAGTGACTGATATCTGATGAGTGAATTTAATCATAAATCATTATGGTTAAAATTTTTGCGAAAGCCAAATTGCATGCATGAGCTGATCTGTGTTATTGAAATAATTATTACAAATATTTAATGAACAACAAAATTAATAAACAACAAGACGCCCATTAGAAGTATCACAAACACACAAGAATCCATCTTTCTTAAATGCTAATCCAAAAGGATAGCTAAACTGATCAACATTTCTGCCTTCACTTCCAAAACTGCTAACAAACACATCATCACTAGTGAAGACTGATATACGAGCATTGCCCCATTCACTGACATACACTAAACCATTAGCTGCAGTGTCTATTGCTATATTATTTGGCTTTTTAAGCTGACCAGGACCAGATGCATAAGTACCAAACTGACCCACAAACTTTCCATCTGGAGAGAACTTCTGAATGCGATGATTATCACTATCAGCAACATACACTAATCCTTGATTGTCAATAGCTATGTCATATGGAGACTGAAACTGTCCATTAGCTGATCCTCTACTACCAAAGGAATGAGAGAAAGTTAGATCAGGATTCAAGACTTGTATACGATGATTATTTGCATCAGCAATATAAACCTGTCCTGTTATAGGAAAAATGGATATACCATGAGGAGAATTGAATTGTAATAGTCCACTACTCTCCTCACCAACTGATGCTATAAGGTATCCATCCATGCTTATCTTCTGGATCCTGTGCTTATCAGATACAAGAATGAATTTGTCTGGAGTAATGGCTACACCACAAGGGCAAGAAAACTTGTTATTACCACTTCCTCCTTCCCCTCCTATTGATTTCACTTTCTTTCCTTCTTTATCCAGTATTGTTACACAGCTACCATTCCATTCAGCTATTATAAAATGATTATCATCATTTACGGCAACTCCCCAGGGAAAGTTAAGCCCAGTTATAGTATGTACTGGAGTGATGTTATCAAGGTAAGGATTGAAAGGGATGACTAGTGAGGTATCCTCAAGGTGTACATCATATACTTGTACTTTTACTGTATAAGTACCATTTGTTGAAGGGTTACACTGTATCTGATACACCCCTGCAGGATCAGTGTTGGTGGTAGTGACTGTAGTGTGAATGGGTTGATCACCTTTACCAATTGGTACTAGACTACACCTCAGAGAAGAGAGGGGACACACAAAAGA